TCTTTTAATGCTGGCGAACCACACATATTATTCTCTACACAACCGATGGTGCTACCTCTACTGAAAGATGAAGTTCCTAGACTGGCTGGCCACTTCAAATTGTATCTACCAATTCAACTGCGCTGATGGTTGAGCGAGTTATATTGGTCGTTATTATGTACTCGTCGCCAAATTATTGTTATGTACTGGTCGAGAATTTAATAGTCCTGACGCAAGAAAGATGGAAATCAGAAGACCACTAGGTTTGCGATGATACCTCTATTTTCCAAACACAAGGAGAATCCAAGTCACACAAGAGTGTGAGAGCAAAAATATATGAATGTCCGAACAAGTGTGCGTACACAAGTGTGTGAGCGAATATTCAAAATGAACAAATCAATGGACAGTCTTAACATGATTGGCTAATTATAATGGAATATCGATCCATATATACATAGCAAAATATATCAGATTGTCAAACAAACACACAATCTATATGGATACATGTCACCAAGAACAGACTGTCAAACAAACACACAAATTATATGGATATATATATCAGTCTTTGCACTGGGAACTTGGTTTTTCGTGCTCGCTCGAGAGCATCTCCCCCTATGGCTAAGTGAAGGTGTTGTGTAAACCATCAACAGTTCGGTATTGGATCATCTGGTGCAAACCGGCCAACCACAAAGCCAGTCAGCCAGCCAGTGTGGAAGAATCCCTCCTCATCATCATCTACTGGGTGCCTAATAAATTGCCAAAATCATCATCGAAGCACCGCATGCTCCGAACACCAGACACTATTGCAATTCTCCTGAAACCACCAGTACTCTGTGTCCAAAAGAGGCAAGTCCAGCCAGCCAGCCCCTACTACTGGCCTGGCAGGTCTTCAGTAGAAACTATCAATTCACAAATTTGTAATATTATCTATCTTTCGTAATTTTTCTGACATTCCGTTTTTATTGTTATGTTGATGCTATTGAACTGTAATCTATCAATACTATTGATTCGATGTTATTTAAACAGCAGCATTAATGTTGTTCATAACACTAATTCATTCATTCATTCACTATAATGTATATATAACTGTACAGCCTGATGAATTGGTTATCAAAATGAGTACTCTTTGTTCAGTATCCATTCTACTGACAATTTAAAGTCATAATGGAATATCCAGGATAAGTTCTACCGCGAACAAAATTATTCAAGAAGTGAAAATGTTTGAATGTATGAGAAAAGAATTCATGATATAGACTAAAAATTTGTAGATTTATATAACTTTATTAGGATTTTTCATAGGCTTCAGTTGGACAAACTAGAAACCGCTAGTTCACACTATCCCCTCATCCAAAGTTCCCATTTCATATTCAGTCAGCATTAAAAACTGCAAGTCATTATCAGAAAATGACTAAAAAATGTGAAACTAAAACGGTCATAAATTCATCGAGATATTTTCACTAATGGATTTTGGTCAGCTGATATTGTGCGTGTGTGTGTAAAAACTATATCAATCACAATTTTCCCACATACAGTTTTACAAATCTCACAGACAAATAAAGATAGCTAAATCACATCATTATAAATTTGAGCAGCTGTACTTTGCATGAAATAATTTACCACCTTATATCACATGCGAACTATTAAAGTTATTAATACTCAAGTTCTATTGTATGAAAAGCAGAATAATTCAAAGTTTTATGGTGTTTCTATAGGATAGAAGCTTTTCAGTAGAGGAGATGAGTAGAAACCAAGAAATATCATAAAATATAAAATGGGAATATTATTTGTTCAATCTATTGTTGGCTGTCAACCTTTTGGCTGTTAAAAGCTTTTTATTTGTGCTTTAAGCATAAAAAATAGGAAAACACTAAAAATAACAGACAGTGATGTAATATTTCCTTTCCGTTGTTCACAAAACTAAGGTGAAGTAATTTCTTGGTTTATGTGTTGAGCTAAATTAATAAAAAACAAACTGGTGAGAAGTCGTGACCAGTAAGGTGCAGCAGGTCGGATGTGAGGACAAATACTCGCCGAAGACATTGGCTAGGGGTCGCGCTATGTCGTGAATTGGCAGTTGGCTGGCAGTTGGAACGGGTCCCAGTGGCTTAATGGTCCACGAGCTCGGTGGCCTTGTAACCAGAAGGTCCTGGATTCGAACCCTGGTGGTGGATTCGTACTGATGAAGAGTCTCAAACTAGGACGGAGGAAACAGCTATCCAGTACTCCCAGCTGGTTTTCCAATGGTTCTCTAACCAATGTCAGCTCATAATGAAATTCTGCAACCCAAAAAAGCTGTTCAACACTTTTTCAACCTCTGCATAAGTAGATGCAATGTAAAGGCTACCTTGCCTTTGTGCGTTTTGTTAACACTAGTTAGAATCATGATGATATTCATAATTTTGATGGAGTAGATTATGCGTCAGACTGTGCATTGGGAGTGAGAAGACAGGAATAATCTGGACCACTGATGAAGAGACTTTAGAAGATATGGATTTCATAGATGCTATATGTTTAATGTAACAAAAACTCGAAGACTTGCAGGTGAAAAACCAACAAACTGGCTGAAGATGTAGGCAGACAGCGAAGGTAGTACTCCAGGTGAATACAGAGAAGAAGATAATCAACCATCAACAAATGCAGCAACAATAAGAAACAGCACCAATCATCATCAATGGGAGAGATTTAACAGAAGTTTCTTCCTTCACTTGTCTAGGAAGCACCATTTCAACTACAGGCGAAACGGATGAATATGTCAAAGCTAGCCGGTCAGAATCGAAAAGGCAAGATACGCCTTCAGTAACCTGAAACTAATTTGGAAATCTTCTGCACTCAACTAGAATGAAGAAGAATATTCGGATTTTCATCACAAATGTGAAGTCAATCATTTCTTCAATACGGGTTAGAGATTTGATTAGCGCTTCACGAATGGGATTTCCATCAGGTTACAAACTTTTGTCAATAGCTGCCACCTTCTCTGGCTGGATTCCATACTGAAGATTAGATGGCTGGCGGGCCAGAAATAATTAACAACAAGAAACTCTGTCTGAAAACAAACCAACTAAGAGCTGATTGCTAAACAAATATGCAGAAGAAAATGGAGATGGATCGGGCATCCATTGAGGAGGCTGTCGAATGTAATCGAACGCAGCTGGAATCGAGTGGAATCCCATTGCAATGGGAAGCGACTAGTGGATCGTCAGTGCGAGGGGGAAATGGAGGTGACACTGTGTGAGGAAGATATGAGAGATTATGGGCAATTGTGAACCCAGATGAAGATGTCAGCAGAAAATAGAAGGGAGTGGAGATCTGTTGTTGAAGCCGTATGTTCCACTTAGAACCCAAAGGAATAATAAATAAATAAAGGTTTGAATCACACAGATGTGAAGGTGAAAACCGAAACGTTGTCAAGAGATGGAGGTGGCGAAGACAGGACTTCAAGTGTGTTATAGAGAAGGAAGAGTTGATAAAGACGCCCAGCCAGAAACAACGAACTCTGATCACCAACCATTGGCAGGAGAAATTTAAACGAGGTCACTTCTTTCACTTATCTAAAACAGCATCTTTTCAACTTCAGGGAGCACGGATGAAGATGTCAAAGATGTAGGATCGGAGAAGTAAAACAAACCTTCATTATCCTGAAACCAGTGTGGATGTCTACAGCACTCACGGAAAATAATAAGATCCGAATTATGTTTAGAATTAATGTCAAGTCACTGTTTTTATATAGTTCAGATACTCGGTGAGTGTGTTGTCTAAAGCATTTCTAACAACCTGCTATCGATTTTCATCAACAGCTGCCTTAGATCGATACTGAAGGTCAGGTTGTTTACCGTAAAGCCTAAGAAACAAGCAGCTCTGGGAATGAACTGACCAGGAACCTAGTGAACAACATATATGCCTAAGAAAATGAGGAAATAGACAGGACAAACTCTATGGAGACCATTCAATGATATCGCGCACCAGACCCTCAAATTGAGACCGAATATGAAACGACAAGTTATGAGTGGGTTGGAGGGCATAGGAGACTGTATGAAAAGATGAGTGCTTATGGGAAATCATTGAGCCAGCTAAAGAGGACTACAGAGAACAGAATAGGATGGAAGCCACATGTTTCAGTTTGAACCTAAGGGAACAATATCAATAATTCGAATCTATGGACTGATAAATTAATCTTGCCAATAACCAATGATTAAATATTTTATATATTAAAACTGTATATGAAGTGTTGTCTAAAAAACTAACAGTGTCACGATGATAACCGTAAAGACGGCGAAGATGACGTGAAGTGGAATGAATTCAAGTGATAAAATGGAATAAAATGAAAAGAACATAACTATGAAGCTGAATACATTGGACGTCGTAAGCGTTTTCTTCGTAAGTTGGTGGCTGAACACTAACTGGTTTGGTTAATAAAAGGTGGGCATAGAACGACGAAGAGTTCAGTTTGTGAACACATTCTAGGGTCAGGTCATTCAGCACCCCACACGTGATTTTTCCTTTAAAAATATCTACAGGACCAAATACAACCACACCAAAAGCTTTCGTTTTCTCTAATTATGAATAGCCGAATCCCTAGGTGTACATGGGCGAAAACCTAAATTAGGTGTACAAAAACGTTTTTTTAAATCTCTTTCTTCACCTTGGTCATAGTTATGTTCTTTTTATTTTATCCTATTTTACCGCTTGAATTCATTCCACTTCACGTCATCTTCGCTGTCATCATCGTACTATTAATTGTTTCGACAATACTTGATCCACAATTGTAAAATCTTTATACCAGTTCACTTATTTTATATATTGCCTTAACATATCTGCACTCCCCTAGGTGCTTCGATGAACGGATATTTTTCAGTCTTTAATGAGAACACTAATTTCCTTAGGATGCGCGATAAGTGCCATGAAATGAAGGATTTATGCACACAGATCTTTTAAGTCTATTCCACAACATTCAAGAAATAATCTTCAAACTAATCAATTTTAGTACCTATCAATATGAATAATTTTAAAAGTTTTCTAATTACTTGTTTCTTTGGTGTTCATAATATATTTCCGAGCCATCATCATTATCATCTACATCATCCTTGATTAGTGTTCCATGACTGTCTGTTGTGGTCGTTGTTGTTCCACACAATGGGATACCCGTTTGTTCAACTGGATTTAGATTGTTCCGAGAAAAATCCCTTTCTTTGCATTCATTTGATTCAAAATATGTGGATGATGATTTCGGTAATTTTTCTGTATTCCTACTTACTTCAGTACTAGTATTTAGTTGACTGTGAGATGAAGTAATTGGTAAATTTCTTGATTTACCAGTATGACAGTTGTTCTTCATATCAAAATTAGGAGTTATACAATTTCTTTGAATTAATGAGGTATTTTTAGAGATATTGACTGGAACAGTTGTAGTCGGTGTGTGCTGAAACTTGGCACTTTCTTTTCCACCTGTATAAACTTTTGATTGAACTCCAGGCGTTGACTGACCACTTGATACATGTTCATTGACAATAACTAAACTATTCATGAGTGAAGATGATGGAGAATAGGAACACGAAGGAGAAGATAAAGAGGATGTTGAAATTCTTAAGGAAGACTGTCTCATTGAATGGTTGGAGCTGGACACGGATGCATTTTCATATTTTGAGTTTCTACATAAAGGTTCATGTTTTTCAGCGTAAATTTGTAGACTATGAATTTGATTCTGAAGACTGTTTATCTGAAGGATGCAAAAAGACAACAAATTTAATGAACTCAAATAAATAAAAAAGGTCAAAATTTATATGATTTTAATAAGCACTTTTTAAATTCATGATATCGATAAAGATATTGATACTTTAAAATCTCTGAAAAAATTACGTAGTTTCATGGGAAAATGTGATTTCTTGAAAGGGATACTAAATAGATGGGAAATTGGTGGAAATGGATTCGATTGAGAGTTAGCATGTGACTATTATTTTTGCTAAATTCTCCGATAAGGTATATGTGTGTACAGAATTGAGCGAATATAATGAAGTTATCAAGCAGTTCATAAAATTCAATAATTTCTGGATTCTACCGTTTTATACCAGAATGGAAAACCGACAGACTGGTCCAAGAAGAAGCAAAGACAGGACTCCAAGTGAACATAGACAAGACGGAGGTTATGAAAACAAAAAACCAACCAACAACAACAACAGAAACATCCACCGCCAATCACCATCAACGGGAGGGATTTGAAAGAGTTTACTTCATTCACTCACTCATCTAGCGAGCATTGTCCCAGCTACAGGAGGAACGGACGACGATGTCGGGAGAATCGAGAATCGGGAAGGCGAGCGAGAAACACACACATTCACCAACCTGAAACCAATCTAATCTGGAAATCTTTGTCATTCAGCCACCATCAACAACTAAATCCAGTCGGATTTTCAATACAAACAACGTCAAGTCAGTCAGTTCTCTATACGGAACGGATGAGAAACTTGGCGGGTGGGTCACAAAGAATATTTCCACCAACAGGCTGTTGCAGACCTTTATCAACCAACAACTGTCTTTGCTGACTCTGTAGTGAAGATCAGATGGCCGAGTCGGGAACAATCACCAACAAGAAACTATGGCTGGGAACAAACAAAACAAGAACAAACCAATCGCCCAACAAATATGCAGTAGATGGAGTGGGGATGGATTGGACACTCGCTGAGTAGGCCGCCACTGGGTGACATGGGGCGTCAGGCCATCGCTCGAGTGGAACCAGACCGAAAGGGAATCGGCGGCGAATGGGACGTCAGTGCAAGGGTGACATGGAGGAGATCGTGTGAAGAGGAGTTGAAACAGTGTGGACTGACATGGATGAAGGTGAAAAGTACAGCAGCAGAGGACAGAAGTGGCAAGTGGATATGTGCGGTTGAAGCCCTATTTTCCACTAGGAACCCAAGGGAACAATAATAATAAATCTATTTTATGAGTTTTTCAAGTCTGGGTGTGTATACAATTGGTGGATGGTGGCTAGCAGTGGAATCCAGGATGCGCATTTCGTCCTAATTGGGACTCGTCAGTGGATGTACCTGCATTTCTCAGTGAGTGATGATGTTCCCACCGAGGCTCGAACCCAGTGCCCATAGTTTCAAACGCCAAAGCGTTATCCACTAGACCACTTGGGTTTGTACTGATTTGATTGGTTGGTTACAAGAGTCCCAAACTAGGACGAAACGTCTGTCCAGTACTCCCAGATTTTCTAGTGGTTCTCTAATCGATGTCATCCCATGATGAAATCCTGTAACCAATCCATCGAATCCCTACTAACGAACACTTGAATATCGATGAGATGTTCACTACTGACTGGCCCTATTCACGTATGTTCTAGTGGAAAGTCGTGACCAGTGGGGTTCAGCAGGTCGAGGGTGAGATTAAATACTCGCCGAAGACATTCGCTAGCGGTCGCTTTATGTCGTGAATTGGAAAAAGTTAGAATTCACGGACTGGCCATTTGATCGGCTCTCAGTGGCTTAATGGCCTACGAGCTCACCTTGTAACCAGAAGGTCCTGGGTTTGACCCCTAGCAGTGGGTGCGTACTACTGAACAGTCTCAAACTATGACGCAGCAGCTGTCCAGTACTTCCCGGTTTTCCAATGGTTCTCTAACCAATGTCAGCTCATGATGAAATCTTGTAATCAAGAGTTATTATTTACCCAGTGAAATGGCTATTTCATAATAATCTGGAAGTTCCGTGGGGGAAAATGAATCTTCTTGAAAGTGGCGTAATAAGTTGCTGATTGATACGATACACAAATTTATTATTTTCTTTAAATATCTAAGACTGACTGTCTTTCGGAATGACGATATCGAGTATAAAAAAAGAAACAGCTATTCAAAAGGTTTTAAAATTACAGCCCGAAGTTCATGATGAGCTTTATTAACTCACAGATATTTGCTAAAACTCCAGAAGAAATCAAATAGAGTATTTTATCCTAACGCTTTGAAATTAAATTTTCTGATCGGGATTTGAAACCGAAATATCTTTGTCATCATTAGTATAATTCAACTGAGTAAAGACCACGTAGATACAGCGAAGTTTTCAAATAGAGTAAATGGTTAATTATTAATCTCTCAAGTTTTTTCTCAACCACAAGATGTTCAATAAATTACGCAACATTTTCTCTATAGTGATTTATTAGGCATGTAGAACATCGAATCTAGTACCAAGCTATACAGTCGTATATATTCATATGATATTTTTTTTTAATTAATAACGTGAACTGCGTCAAAAAATAATTAGCTACGTGATTTAAAAAATAATGTATATCAGATGTATAAGTTTCAAAGAAGGTGTAGAAACAAGAAGTGAGTGACTAAAACATTACGCAACAAGGGGATAATTTAAGAAAGTTAGTTCCCTTTATGAATTTAGACAAAGCAATAAGAAGACGTAATTTGTCCGAATCGTGTAGCGTATTTGCGCAACACATTCTGAACAATCTGATCACACACGAAATTGTCATAGGAATGAATACATATAAAATTAATAAAGACTTAAGAGGTGAGAAAATAGACTTAGGTCAAGTTAAAAGGATATATTGAAGACAAATTACGTCTTCTTATTGTTTTGTCTATAGGGGAGAATTGTGATACGAAAATATTGCAAATAATTGCAAGGTACATGAAAATTTCAAGATATCCTTCAAGCTTTACCTATTTTAATAGGAAGCTTTCAAAGATACCATAATTTGTTAGTTATGAATACAGAGTGTCAGATAAATTCATAATATATTCTTTGACGGTCTCCAGTGGCTGAACGGTCCACGAGGTTGCCATGCGACCTGCAGGTCCTGGGTTCGAACTCTGGCGATGGGGACGTACTACGAATGAGTTCCAGTCTTCACTGCCTGTTTGTGCGTCGGTAGCACAGTGGTAGAATGTTCGCAAACTACGCATATGGTTCAGAGTTTGATCCCCGGCCAACGAAGCACTCCTTTACCTGGATAGGTCAGTAATAAGACCGGTAAAGAGGGAAGGCTGGACATGAGGCTAGCAGCTCCATCCCGTGACAAATAAACACCACTACTACCGAAACTTCAAGTCTCTGGCATGAAGCTCCATGTTCCATTGGAAGGTAAAAGAATAAGAGAAATATTCTATGATAATAAGATAATTCGGCTACGGAGTTATCCATAGTTATTAGCAAAAAGACTGAAATCCTCCATGTTCAAAATCGGTGCCAAACTATTTCAGAAGCATTTTCCCTGGTTTTTAGCATTCTACCATTACAAAGAATAGATCCCATATATAATCACAGATTACTGGTTTAAAAAGTGCCAGTTTCAATCAATTCTTTCAAGAACTCTCTTCTACTGAAGCATCACTTCACTAGAGTAACTTCAGAAGAATAATGTCTAAAAGATAATTGGTAAATTTTTGTATTACATGTACTGCTGAATATTCAAAAATCTTCCGAAAGCAGATTAAACACCGAAAGTTTTACTCTAACTTACGGAAACTAACTATGGTACTTGAGATTTATACAAACGACTGAGTTAGAAGAATTGAAAGACATGAACAATCAATTTTGAATGTAATATAATCTTGACGCTTACATATAAATCACTATTAGTAATTAAAAGGTTTTAAAAATGCAACAAAATGTTGCGTTGTAGAGGTATGTTCTCATGAAATTCCAAACCAAAGGAAACGAATAATACATTCTGTGGAATTCGTTAACCACTGAAGTACAAACAATAGAAAAGGAAATGAAATAGCTGCATTGAAGTATATTATTTCCCTAGTATTATTCTTTGTGGTTCTTAATATTTTGATTCATTTATGTTCTCAGTGGAACATAGGGCTTGAAGCTAGAGGCTTGAAATTTCGGTAGCAGTGGTGTTTATTTTTACGGGTTGTGGTTGCTAGCCTCATGACCAACCTTCCCTGTTCACTAGTCTTATTACCGAATTAGTGGGGTAAAGGAATGCGTGGTTGGCTGACGATCGAACCTCAAAACACATGTGTGGTTGGCGAGTATTTGACCTCGGTGCCATCTTTGTACACTTCTTCCTGTGGTGGAAATATCAGGTAATTTTCTTCTACAGCGAATCAAGTAGTTTAAGAAATTGATCACTTTGTATAGACTAAATTATTCCGTAACTCCATTTAAGGTTGACTTGAGACATAATTTCATTGTAGAGTAGAAGATTTAACCTATGATGAAGATTCCTGGCCAACACCAACAGCAACAACAACAACAACAGACAACAATCAGCCAGCATAAATGGCAGGAATCTGAAAGAAACAACCTCCTTCACCTACCCACCTACCTGAGAAGCACCGCTCCAACTAGAGGTGGACAGAACTGACGAGGATATCAAAGAAAGGGTCAGGAGAGAATGACAAGCTTTCATTTCTCTCAAGTCTATGTGGAGGTCAACAGCACACTCACCATGAAAGTGAAAATAGCATCCGGATTTTCAACTCCAGTGTGAAGTCAGTGCTACTTGCTGTGTGCATCAGAGACTTGAAGCGTCATAAAGAGCATCTCAAACAAACTACAGACCTTCATCAACAAATGTTTTCACTCAATACTACTCAAGATCAGATGGCCAGCCAGAAAAGATCAGCAATAGTGAGGGGTCTCTGGGAATGAGCGAACCAACCCAGCAGGAACCGATTGTGAAACAAATAAGCACGAAAAAATGGAGATGGATTGGCTGGCCATACTCTGAGGAAACCATCAAGTGACATCACCAGACAAGCCATCACTCGAGTGGAACCCGAAAGGGAAGCGGCGAGTTGGTCGTCAGTCCGATGATGGGGTGACTTAGAGGAGGTCATGTGAAGAGGAGATGAAAGCATGTGGACAAATTTGGAGATAGGTGAAAACGTTGGCAGAGAACCGAAGGCAATGGAGACGTTTTGCTGAAGCCCTATAATCTTCTAGGAGCTAAAGGAAACAATAATAATAATGCAATTTCTTTATAACTTTCATATATCACATACATGGAGTATGGCTACAATGTAAAAACCTAAGTTATAGTCTAATTTATTCGTCTCTAAAAGGTTTTTCGATTTCCGACAGCTCTAAACAGTCAACAAAATGTGTGTTTGTTTTTTACCGTGAAGTGTCGTTATTTATCACATTTGCATCACTCAATTTAAACTACTGAAAAGCAGTATTTTTTTTTACTATATACAAGTTTTTAAAAAAATAGATCCAAAAGTCTAATTAACCAGTACTGCAATCTTTACAGAAATCTAAAACAAGCAATAAAAGTCAATAAAGCAGGATTTAATGATGGATTCATCAAATTTTGGTAGAACTTTGTTCTAACAGTACTATTGAGCATGAAATAAAATCTCTGAAGGATATCTTATCTAAGAATGGATATCCTGAGAAGTTCATTATTAAATACTCTAAAGAAGCTACCCCCTGAAAAACAATTCAAACAGTTCCGAAGAAACCTGTCTATATCCATTTGCCGTTTAAAGGAGATGGCGTACAGGAAGTAGTGAAACGGAGACTCGACAAAGCCATCAAGAGAACTTATTATGCTGCAAAACTTGTTATCCTTAACACCACTTAGCGAGTGCTTCGACAATCTGGGAAAGACCAGTCGTCAATCCTCGACAATTCAAACTGCGTATATCAATTTGAGTGTGTTTGTGGAAGCAAATACATAGGTCGTACAGAAAGGCGATTCTCAACTCGCATGATGATTGAAAACAGCTGAGTGCAAAGTGCCAAAATCCTCAATAACAAAACAACTTGTGGAATGTGGACATGATATTGACGCTGTCAAGTCATTCACTATTGTCAGCAGAGAAAGAAACAGGAAGATGCTTGCTATTGCACAGAGGCTTGTGCAGTTCGAGTTTATAAACCAGCTCTCTGTATACAAAAGGAGATGGTCGTGACTGTGAATCTACTATGGTAACACGTTTTACTTATTATTCTTTACATATTATTTTTATTCTTGATTCATTTAAAACTATCCTTTATCAGCGGGATTATCTTAACTCACTTCAACACTATTATTATTATTGTTAATATAACTATCACTATTGATATTACTCTGTTTGCAATTCTTCTTATATTCCCTAGTAACTTATTGTTTATCTAAGTGATGAAATTGAAGCGTAATGCAATTTATCTTAATTTTGATCTCTCATACTCCCTCTCTCTCCCCTTATCTATTTGAACATGACCTGGAAAACATTTGCACCTGTCTTTCCACATGACGAATTCAATGTAGTTTGTTTACTTATCAGTCTTATATCTCCCAATGTAATTTCAAAAGTATATATATCCCTGTATGTAGAGTATTCAGCTGACGAGTTCTACAGAAATTTGATGAATCCATCATTAAATCCTGCTTTATTAACACCTTTCGTTGTTTGTTTAGTAAATTCGTATCGGGAAATAAATGTTTTCAGTTTACAGATCTCAGTACGCACATCGTATTATTTAATTACTCAGAATAATCAGATAATGAAATAGACGTCATCAGGTACTCTATTTACAAGTACTGTTATCCTTGTTACACACTTAAACTTCTAAAGCTTATTATTATATTCTTTAGTTCCTAGTGGAACATAGGGCTTCAGCAAAACGTCTCCATTGCCTTCGGTTCTCTGCCAACGTTTTCACCTGTCTCCAAATTTGTCCACATGCTTTCATCTCCTCTTCACATGACCTCCTCTAAGTCACCCCATCATCGGACTGACGACCAACTCGCCGCTTCCCTTTCGGGTTCCACTCGAGTGATGGCTTGTCTGGTGATGTCACTTGATGGTTTCCTCAGAGTATGGCCAGCCAATCCATCTCCATTTTTTCGTGCTTATTTGTTTCACAATCGGTTCCTGCTGGGTTGGTTCGCTCATTCCCAGAGACCCCTCACTATTGCTGATCTTTTCTGGCTGGCCATCTGATCTTGAGTAGTATTGAGTGAAAACATTTGTTGATGAAGGTCTGTAGTTTGTTTGAGATGCTCTTTATGACGCTTCAAGTCTCTGATGCACACAGCAAGTAGCACTGACTTCACACTGGAGTTGAAAATCCGGATGCTATTTTCACTTTCATGGTGAGTGTGCTGTTGACCTCCACATAGACTTGAGAGAAATGAAAGCTTGTCATTCTCTCCTGACCCTTTCTTTGATATCCTCGTCAGTTCTGTCCACCTCTAGTTGGAGCGGTGCTTCTCAGGTAGGTGGGTAGGTGAAGGAGGTTGTTTCTTTCAGATTCCTGCCATTTATGCTGGCTGATTGTTGTCTGTTGTTGTTGTTGTTGCTGTTGGTGTTGGCCAGGAGTCTTCATCACCTCTGTCTCCACCTTCTCTGTGTTCATCTGAAGCCCTATCTTTGATACTTCTTCTGCCAGCTTGTTGGTTTTCAGTCGCATATCTTTCAGTTTTTGGGAAATCAGACAAACATATATATACACTGATTTGAAGTGTCATTATTACATCCTCGTGTACTTTGAAAGTGTGAAAAATTTTCCCTGATGTGTGTGTATTAAACAGACATTTTTTGGTTTTAATTCCTCATCTATGCATCTGTCGTATTTCGTCCTAAAGAAAGTCATCATTTAAAATTATTATGTCAAATGGAGAGATTGTTTGGTACACTAGTAAGCACATTTTTTCCCGCTAATTAGCCGTAATTCGAAGTATGTTAAATAAATACATAAAATCAATCTCTTGTCTAGACATTCGTGTTACAAAAAACGATGATGAATCCTGTCTATGGTATGTTAGGCTTACAGATATAATGAAGGTTTGATTTTCTCAATTATGTCTTTCTAACTTTTGCACCATATTATATATGATGGCAACTAATATTAATTCTGTATTAGTTTCGGTGGGCACCTGAATGCTAGTCACATTTTTTTGACTTGTATTGTTCCCATTCACTTTTTTTTATTCTTCTGTTACTTAGGTGCCAGTATTAGTCTTCCTTGTTAAATTTATCGTACATTTAATTCTCTGGAGGGTGTAGCTTATTGCCTGATGCTATGGATAGTTTTTTGGTGACGAATTCCAACTTCTGCCAATTCACAACATAACGTGACCATTTTGAAATGTCTTCTTCGATGAGATACTGCGTCATCTTCAACCTGTTGTACCCTACTACTTACAACTTCCCACTAGAACCCCGAGTCACTGCCCGAATACGGCCAGTCGCTACTGAGCATCAGATTAATTCAGACCCCGGTGGAGGGTGAGTACTACTGAAGAGTCTTAAACTAGGCTGACGAAACAGCTGTCCAGAACTTTCTAGGTTTTCTAGCGGTTCTCTAAATAATGTCAACTCACGATGAAATTCTCCGTCCGATTAAACAAAATCCCTACAAAACCAGTACTTGAAAAATGATATTTATCTTAAAAACACTACTTAATCAGAAGATTGACTCGAAACTGACCAAATTTGCGTGTGTTCAGAAGATTGTTAAGTAGAGTGACAATATACACATATATATAATCTGAACTAACTTACAGTTTCTTGATTACGCTTAACAGCCAGTCTGTAAGCCTTACGTGATGTTCTATTCCGTCTATTCTCATTTGCACATTTCATGTTAGCCAGCATAATATTTTTAACTGCATTCAATTCAACTTCAAGCCATGAAATAGCTTTTTGTATATCTTTACAACTGTACAAATCGAAAGTCTCCTCCTGCTTAGAATTTTGACTATCTACTTCATTGGTTATAGATGTAGAATTTCTTAGATTCATTGATTGACTATAATTTAGCAAACCTGTCGAAAATGAGCACAACGGAGAGGATGATGATGACGATGACGACAGGGTTGTTGACAATGATGTAACTGTTTGTGTTACTGAAGCTGCTGTTGCTGGTGGTAAAGGTAGTAGTTGAGGTTGTGTTGTTGGTTTCCCTGTCGATTGATTTATTGTTTGACGCTGAAGTACACCTGAATCACACAAAGATGGACTAGACGCAGATGTGCATAATTCATTATTGAATTGTAGTAAATTACTTTTAAATCGTGGTTTAAACGTCAATGGAAGAGATTTATTAAATTTTTGTATAATACAGTTTTCATTTTGTAACTTTTTAGTTGATCGTGTTGAATTCAGTGTTTCTTGGGAATATTCTTTTGTAGGGTAATTAAGATTCTTTGAGTTGTTCATGTTCTGTAAACAAATAATATTTTGGTGGGAAATCAAGTGAATTAAATAATAATAATAAATAATGAGGTTTATATTTTGAATTCAAGTTTACGACTGATTTATATTCTTTCACATGTCAAAGGCACTTAACCCTAAGTTCCTCTTATTTGCGAAGACGCTTCGAACGATTATTGACTTTAACTCCAAAAACACCAGGACATGCAATAAGAAATTATATTCTTTGGCAGTTAAATTCGATATCATCATATCAAAGTCTATAAACAAATGTTTTACAAATAAATATAATGTACTTCTATTCGTATTCTTTCGTCTTCTTCCAACTTGTAGACGACTGAACCATTTGCGCCTTCAGTTTGCTCGCCAATGGCTACCAGTTGCAATAAACAAACGTTTAATTTTCGCGTCCATTTACATCACAGAGTCTTCTGAACACCTTGAACTGCAATCTACGAATGTTTGGCATGCGTCTCGCGCCCACCAAATGTAAGATGATGCTACACGACTGGGCTACACTGACTCCTAGTTTAGAAATAGGGAGTGAAGTGGTAGAGCACAAGTGTACTGCTCATTAGTCCACTAAGCACTCCTTTATGGCTGTGCGCAAGACCTGGCCATTGAGAGTGGAAGACATGAAAAGATTAGGTGCCTTCGATCACAGCTGCCTGCGTTCTATCTTCCGTGTTAAATGGTAAAGCAGGGTGAGGAATATTGAGGTTAGGCATCGGTTGAGTGTTAGGTAAGGAAGGAGGGGTGGAAATCAATCGATGAGGCTGTGAAATTACATCGACTGAGATGGTTAGGACATGTGTCATGCATTCCTGCCTAGACATCGCCTTCCTCGACAATAGGCAATGTTAGCTGACATAGGGTCAGGTTGGAAAAGAGCTAGCGGTGGTCAAACCAAAACATGACACCAGTCAATGAAATCCACAACAGTTAGTTTAAGCCAGCCAGTCACGTAGGAAGGTGTAAGCTGTCAGGCTAGTTGGGGTCCTCGGGACTGTAAAAACCAATGAAGGCTGGGAACAACTGGTGATATGGCTCAAAGTGTTCGTTCTCAATTGCTGGTGCAGATGCATCCACTCCTTGTCACTTATGATTTCCAATGAAGCTATATTGTTCTTCGTTATTACTATTCCTTTGTCTCGCACCTCTGTTTACTGTCCCTATTATGCGTTTCTACTACTTTCTTCAGTTGCTTTGTGTGCTACATGCAGGGAGTGTGGTAACTTGAACTGGTGCACATCTGTGCAAATTTCTATGTCCAAAACAAACCATTTTGAGGCATTTGCTTTCCTTTGCTGAACTCTGTCAGTCATAGACTAATAAAAATACTTTTTTATCCTTTAAATTAATAATATACAGAACTTTTCTTACTAACATCATAAAAGTTTGTTGTATTCAGTGAGAATGGGAGGCAACAACTGCTTATTTTTCAAAGCGTTTTACTTTATTGACACCAAATCTAAAGGAACAGACGCTAGCAATCCAAATACTGCCGTTTTGAAAGTTGTTGGTAGGATCTCTCCTTCACCCGTAGTTTCTGTATATGATATGCATATAGACGATATTTTATTTTTTATTTTTTATTACAGATGGATTCCATACCATATTTTTGGTACAAGTATAGGATTTTCCACATGTGATATCGGTAGCCCAAATTTTGCAGGCCAACCATCGATATCAGTTGTGCGTCGGCAGATGATCGAATCCCAGATCATGTGCATGGTCTGCGAGAGTCCTAACTGCTGTGCCACCGACGCATAGTCAGTGGCACTAGGAACCACTAGGAATCCAAGGGGACAATGAAAATAATAATAATTCAGAACAGATATGATTCAAGCATTTTCTCTTAATCCTGTCCATATGTTTATTTCTAACCACTGTGCCACCGACGCACGATATTATACAGTCCCTTTATTCTGTTGTCAGGATCGAAAAGCAGACACGAAACTATTTTTTAAACTAGATAAGTTAATGAAGAATAATTCAGTGATGAGACCTATCAAACATTTTCAGATTAATCACTGAGTTGAATCGATATCGCAAAAAGCTGTTAGCCCTTCATAATGGTGTGGTATTCGAACTAATAGCAAACAATGGCAGATATTAAATCATAATCACCAATGATATTCCTAATTGTGGTGGACTGAATTATGCGTCAGACAGTGCAAACCCAGAAGACAGGGATTTCCTGGACTGATACGAAGAACCTGGATTTCGCGCGGGGATGATTTATGTTTGATGTCACACAAAATCGAAGACTTAGAGGCAAGCGAAAACCAACAAACTGGTCGAAGAAGCAGCTGGCGAAGACAGGAATCCAGGTGAACATAAACAAGACGGAGGCTATGAAAATAACCAACCAACCAACAACAACAACAGCAGTAACATCCACCGCCAATCACCATCAACGGGAGGGATTTGAAAAAGTTTACTTCATTCACTCACTTATCTAGGGAGCATTGTCTCAACTACGGGAAGTCGGAACGGACGAGGATGTCAAATCGAGCGAGAATCGGGAAGGCGAGCGAGAAACACACACATTCACCAACCTGAAACCAATCTAATCTGGAAATCTTCGTCACTCAGCCACCATCAACAACTAAATCCAGTCGGATTTTCAATACAAACAACGTCAAGTCAGTCAGTTCTTCTATACGGAACGGATCAGAAACTTGGCGGGTGGGTCACAAAGAATATTTCCACCAACAGCCTGTTGCAGAACTTTATCAACCAACAACTGTCTTCGCTGGCTCTATACTGAATATCAGATGGCCGGGCCGGAAAGAATCAAATAAAGCAAGACCCAATGGCCAACCAACAAATATGCAGGAGATGGAGTGGAGATGGATTGGACACTCGTGTCTGAGGAGGCCGCCACTGGGTGACACTGCGCACGTCAGGCCATTGCACAAGTGGAACTAGGCTGAAAGGGAATCGGCGGCGAGTGGGTCGTCAGTGCAAGTATGACATGGAGGAGATCGTATGAAGAGGAGTTGAAACAGTACGGACTAACATGGATGGAGGTGAAACGTACAGCAGAAAGAAGACAGAAGTGGGGAGTGGAGACGTGCAGTTGAAGCCCTATTTTCCACTAGGAACCCAAGGGAACAATATTAATTATAAATCATAACAGAGATATGATTTAAGCATTTTCTTTTTTATCCTGCCGATATGTTTTTATTTTTGTTTACTATAAGCCTGAATGAATTATAATCGCCTTCTTTTTGTTAGATAACAGCTGGAAATCAAATATCATGCAAGAACATATATAAATATGTCCTTAAAACATTTTTATTTTATTTTCATAAGGATCAGATCAGCATAGTTCAGTCCAGAAATGCAGACAAAAACAACGTAGGATTTCTAGGTGAATAGTTAAGTGATGGAAACGTTATGAATTTTAGAATGCCCTACAAGTGTAACTTACAACAGCGAAATAATATATTATTTTGTTTAGAGGCCTAATCTATTCAGCCTTGTATCACAGGTTTTGTTTCTCTTCTCATAAAGGCAGAATGAACTGTCATGTATATTCCAACTGAAATATGATCTCTTATTCTAGTGCATCTGAATAGCACAATGCTATTTTATTTGTTCAGAAATAAAAATAACAGATATTGTAATTTTCATTGTGTCTCAATAACCATTTTGAAATGCGTTCTTTTTCGACAAATTTGGAAAATTCTGTTGGTTCTACCTATATAAGTGTCACCGCAACTGCCAGTGAACTCGTAGATACAGTTTGAAGTAGAGTGCACAGAATTTTGTCCTTTAATCGTAGGTAGGTACAGGGATCGAAAATGTTTGAGGCGTAAAGGGGAGAGATGTGGCATAAAATGTGCACTGGATAGTTGACCAAAGTCTTTGAGCTGTCAACAGTTCCTATCCAGTATAAGCGTTACCAAGTGAAATGTTTGTTTTCAACAGCACGCAAAATATGTACGAGTGGTACATTCAGCTTTATTAGCTAATCGTTATTCAGAAAACTTTATCAATTGTCACAGTAAGGATAAACTACATTTGCTATGGCAAGTTTGGCAAAAAACTTAAAAAACGTATCAATTTCTTTCACTGTTACATGGTTCTTGCTCCCTCGGAAAGAATCCAGACGGTGATAAGAAACTGCTATTTATGAGTGTTGAATTTAAAGGTGATACTGCAGCTGAGATCCTGAAGAACCGCTTATGCAGATCACTGAGGAAAGCTTTCTTTATGACTGAGCTGTGTATCAATTTCTCCAGCGGACAAATGATCAATGGATGTGTGAAGGATAAACTGCCGATTTGGGCCACCTTAATGTGTGTTTATAAATTCACCTCCTCGTGTGGAGCCTGTTATATTGGCCACACAAAGCGCACGCTTTGTGTGGCCAATATAACATTATCCGGCATGGTTGGCAAAACGACAATGCAAGACAATTACTAGCTCGATTCTCGAGCATTTGGTAAACTCAGGCCACGTAGCTCCCATAGAGCCGTCTTTCAAGATCATCTACAGAGTGAAGCCAAATGGTACAAAGGGCGTTAGGTTTCGGCTTTTGTGTATGGCGGAAGCGCTGGCAATTCGTCAATACAACCCTGAACTCTGTATACAGAAAATGTTTGATCGTAACCTCTTCACCAGTCGTTCCCTGTAAAAATAAATTTTGTTTTTGTTTCTTTTGTTTTTAATTTTACTTTTAGTTTGGTTTTGCTTTAACAACTTATTGACTATTATCACTCTCATTTGTTCCTTTTGCAGATTTTCACAACATCTTTACACCTGTTAAATTGACACTCAACTACCTTTATTGTCACTCAATAGCAATTTTAACCTTATCAAATTTCTATCTTTGTTCCGTTGAGTACCACGTAATTTATGACTATTACTTTTTACGTCTGAAGCCACTTCTGAGAAATTATATCAGCTACGTCACCCCCTATTGCTCGATAATATAGACCACTATATATTTTTGTAAGTATAAATACGACTGTACAGCCTGTGAAGATGATTTCGTCGATAAAGAAAATTTTCTTCGCTGAATCTGTCTTTTACTTTCTTCATGACTCAATGGGTATTTTCGGTGATAAACCACATTCTTGAAAAGACGGCTTCTGCACCAAAGTAAGCTATCTTTATTAACCAACCACTCAAGGGTGATCAAATTATGCAGTTAACAACTTAGAGACTTCACTCAGCCATCATGCGCATATTCTACGCCACATCTCGTTCACTCACATCTTGAACATTTTCAATCCCTGTACCTACCTACGATTAAAGGACAAAATTCTGTGCACTCTACTTCAAACTGTATCTACGAGTTCACTGGCAGTTGCGGTGACACTTATATAGGTAGAACCAACAGAATTTTCCAAATTTGTCGAAAAAGAACACATTTCAAAATGGTTATTAAGACACACAGAAATCCCAATGCACTTAATTTGAATAGAAATATTGTACTCAAAAATTCTCTCCACTTGATGATAATAATAGTAGTTTAGAGTTTTTTGTATGTTATTTCTACGATATGAAATCAGTTTTTGTAGGCATAAAACGGATTGGGAATGCCTAATGGCTGATTTAACACACCATTTCAATTTTGGAGGTTAAATTCACATCAATGTGACATAGTTTTCCGACAGCGGATCACGAATCTCATATTTTTATCACAAAAATAGCTCAGGGTTATTATGAGTGAAGTATTAAACCAGTAGATAGAACAGTAGACGAACTGAATACGGAGACCACGCCATATAAACATATTATTATTGTTCCCTTGGGTTCCTAGTGGAACATGGGGCTTCAACTGCACGTCTCCACTTGCCACTTCTGTCTTCTTTCTGCTTTTTTTCTTCATTTTTAGTCGATGCTGTTTCAACTCCTCTTCACACGATCTCCTCCATGCCACCCTTGCAATGACGTCCCACTCCCTACTTCCTGTTCTATTGGATTCCACTCGAGCTATGGCCTGACGCGCGCGCGATGTCACCCAGTGGCCGCCTCCTCAGCCACGAGTGTCCAATCCATCCCTTCACTTTCTCCTGCATATTTGTTGGGTGATTGGTTTGTTCTTGTTTTGTTCGTTCCCAGCCATAGTTTCTTGTTGGTGATTCTTCCTGGCCCGACCATCTGATCTTCCATATAAACATATCCCGGACAATATTTCCTTTGAGATATTTCACGAAGTACTGAACCCAAATGAAGGCTAATTAATGGAACTAGACAAACTAGTCAATTTATCACAACCAGGAAATCCGCTTTTCTATAAAATACACAAATACTAGGTCAATGAGAATGTCAATTACATAGGTCAATCAAACTCTAACATGTACTCAACTCATAATTGAAAGTCAGTGTATTGAAAATTCTTATCTCATAAGACATATTAAAAAAAATCAGAATGTGTTTTCTTACTTGATTTGAATAACCATCACATTTCCGTACTACCTGGTCACGATTTTGATTGACTAAATCATCTATAAATAGGGATGAATGACTGCTTTTAAGCAAACAGTTAACTGATGGTGAAAGTTTGATACTTGCTTTACGAATTACTCTTGGTGACAACATGAATCCAGTCTCTTGAAGTCGGCTACCACGAACGTGAATTGTATTTAGGCATTTTGATAACTGATCTAGTAAAACAAAAAGAGATAGGCTAAAATAAGTCAAGGATGGAATATTTAAGTAATAGACAAAAGATCAGCAGCTCAACGAAGAGTCTCTTTTCGGCGGCAAATTCATTTTTATAGCTGTACAATCGCAAATATATATGCTTGTTTTGTGCGTGTGTGTGTACATTAACTCTGTCAAACGAAAATACAATTATTAAGTTCAGATGGATTGGATGTTGATATAAGAGGGTAGTAACAAAAGTGATGAGTTGTCACAAACCACTGGTAAAGAAGAGTTACGTAATAATGTGAATAGTTTGATGAAAGAGTTGTGCTCAGGGTGTACATGGAAACAAAATAACATACGGAATTACGCAAGGGTTTTGACTAGTTAGAAAAAATAAGCATACAAGCAAAAGTTAAGTCAAATCAACGGAGTTGTTACCATGAGAGTAGAAGTGGTTGAATTATTTTCTTTTGTATGCATAGTTCTGGTTCTTCCAACTGAATGGCTAGGGCTTCTGCAATGCAAAGAAGACGGAGACGTATTGTCTTTGGAAGATTGTTCTTCACTTTGTAGATTACTTTGAAGTTGGAGGCGTTTGTTGAGATGGAATGACCACTGTTGACGAGATGTTCGATTATTGCACTCCTTATACGGCCACTACTTCCTTTCTGCAGCCACGCTGGCTAGTGTTCTTTGGCCCTTTTTGACAGGATGCGCGTTGAACGACTGATGTACCTGACTGGCTCCACAGCAACAGGTGAACTGATATATACACATAGAAGTGGTCAGGTGCGAGATCTTGTCCTTTGGACTTCTGCAGATCAGCGGGTGATTGGAGAACACTACTCTTAATGTTGCCGCAAAGAAAGTTCTTCTTAAAGAAGTCGAAATTCTCCTGCTAAGGGCATCACTGAGTTGGTCACCTTTGAAATCAAAGTTCATATAAAGTATCTTTTTTGGCACGGATGGTGACTCTTGGCTTTGGATTTTCTGCTTGATGTTTTTGTCTACGAATCTTGATGGATAACAATTTTGTAAGAAGATTTCTTTCAGGAAGTGTAATTCTTCTTCCAGGGTATTAGAGCTGCAGATGCGTCGGACGCGAGTGGAAAGAGATCTTATTAGGTTTCTTTTTCGACTGATTGGTACCCAGCTGTAGAAGCTTGTCATTTGGCCGTTCCATGTGGGTTTCCTATGGATGAGCCTTCTTAAAGTTCCATCAGCTCTCCTTAGATTCGTTTTCAATTTCAAGAGTGAACTTTGTAGCTGAATGGCATTTGTTGAATATTTGTAGTAACTGATTGAGATCGTAACCGTCATCACATTTAAGTAACACTGGTAAGGCTATTCGTATTTCATTTAACAATTTACTTCAAACTTTTATATGCATACATCTAGATGGAAACTTTTTACTTCTCTTCTTCTCATAACAATCTTAGATTTCAGTGTCAAGTTTCGAGATGTATTACTGAATTATTTAACTACGTATTATCACTGATGTAGGTAAGTCAGTTTACAAGTGTTGATTGAAGGGAATTGTTTGGTTATAGGTGTGGAACACAAGCTAACATCAGTCCGCGAGCCACTGGAAAATCAAGGAATATTGGAAAGCCTTCTCGTCCTAGTCTGGCACTCTTAAGTAGTACGCACCCACCAGGATTTGAATCCTGGACCTTCCAGTCACTTGGCGACTTTGTAGACTATTTAGTCACTGGGATTCAACTTAGCGGCTGATGAATTCTAACTTCTACGAATTCGTGATATGTGTAGCTCAACCGGTGGGTAACTGTCCTCTTACCTAACCTAGTGGACCCCAATGGCCATAATCACCCATTAGAACTCCAGGTAACTTCCTGCACAGAACCGGTAACTAGAGGCCCTGGGTTTGAACCTTTATGGTTACTTACTAATGAACAGTTGCAAAGTAGGACGAAAAAGCCATCCATTACTCCCTGGTTTTCTTATGGTTCTATAACTGATATCAGCTCTTCACCATACCTGTGGGAAAGAAAATGTCCTAATAAGAGTGTCCGTACGCGTTTTAATGGGGGAAATTAGCACTTATTTCAGTATAGTTTATGAGACCATCTTTGAATGTAGGAATTATCATTGATATTCAACGATTATTTAGCTGAATACACACCATGAATGAAAAAAAGCTATTATCGTGAAGAAAACGTCTCATTTTCATAAACCACTATAAAATAAATATTTTCAATGTTTTCTTATTATAGAAATACAGAATGGCCAATCGATATCTCAAAATAGCGTCGTTGGCAGAGTGGTAAGGGCTCTCACCGACCATGCACATGGTCCGAGGTTCGATTCACTGCCGACGAACACCTGATATCTATGGTCGGCCTGCAAAATTTGGACTACCGATATCCATGCTGAAAATTCCATACTTGTACCAAAATTACGTGTGGAATCAAGCTGTAATCAAAAATAAAACAATAAAAAATAATTAAAATAAAAATATATATGTTCCTGATATAAGATAGTTGGAAGCATTCGGACACAGGAAGCCTTGCTTAACCTAGGTTTTGGTGCTAGTTGGAACTCATCAGCAAGGCGTACCTACAACCTTGAACGAACTCATGTCCCTTCTGAGATTCGGACCCGCGTCACCCAGTTCCGGCTGCAGTCAAAGATTTTACCACCGAGCTATTCGAACTCGCGATTGACCTCCTGCAGGACTGTAGTGGATATTTTGATTGGACACAGGTAACTAGTGTGACGTGTTTAGTCCTTTCTTTGGTGCGGGCTGAATCCTATCAGTCAGGTGACCACATTGCAAAACCTGACTGATAGAATTCAGTCTGCATCAAAGAAAGGACTAGACACGTCACACTAGTTACTAGTGTCCAATCAAAATACAAGTTCCGGTTTGGTGTAAAAGGGAAGAAGATAGACTTCTGATATTCGACAACAAACTCATCACACCACAGTATTGTTCCACATTGCTTAGTGATCGTAGTCCAAGCTAAACTAGTGAAAGTCAGTAATTACTGAAGCTTTACATAAGTGATTGTTTACAGTTCCCATAATGCGCCTAATTTAATCTTACAGGGAATTACCTGTTACACATACAAATTAAGGGGAAAGTAAGTAATTGCAGCTTTCATTTTTAAGGAATTTTGGATGTGCCTCACTGAAAGGGCTACAAGATGGTATAGTTAACCGAAGGGTTTCTATTGGAGTAAATTCTAAGCACTCAATATAACATTCACACGACATTATGATCATGACAACAGTAACTGAATGAGTGCCACCTTATTTTAATTGAAATTTAGAATTTTTCCGTCGATTGATTGAACCGAAGTGCTCGGTCTCAGGTTGACATGTCGGCTTTTTGAGCAGATGCTTCGTCGATGTCTGGGCATTTAGGTAGAATTTAACTTGTGGATGGTGACTAGCAGTGGAATTCAGGATAACGCGCATTTCGCCTGTCCTATTTGGGACTCATCAGCTACTGGATGTACCTGCATTTCTCAGTGAGTGATGATGTTCCCACCGAGGCTCGAACCCATTTCCCATAGTTTCAAACGCCAAAGCGTTATCCACTAAACCACTTGGGCCATGAGGGCCACCTCTTATGCAACGGGTCATGTTAATTTAATTTAATTTTAGAAGTCGACATATCAACCTGAAACCGAGCACCTCGCTCCAATCAATCGACGGGAAAATTCTAAAAATTCAATTAAATTATTATGACCTGTTGCACAAGAGGTGGCTCTCGTCGCCCAAGTGGTCTAGTGGATAACGCTTTGGCGTTTGAAACTATGGGAAATGGGTTCGAGCCTCGGTGGGAAAGTCATCACTCACTGGGAAATGCAGGTACATCCAGTAGCTGATGAATCCGAAATAGGACAGGCGAAATGCGCGTTATCCTGGACTCCACTGCTAGTCACTATCCACCAATTGAATGTCATCTTACTTTTGGTAGTCTAGACTTCCACTGTCCAACTCGTGTAATATATAGTAAATTAGAATATATGCACCAACTCTATATTGACAAAGTGATACTGCCATACATGAGAATGAGATCTGCAACTGAAAAAAAAACTGGACCACATTCAAACTCAACAAAACAGCCTCATCTTTGATACACTAAATTATTAATTCCTAGTCAACAGTTTCATTTCACACAGTGGACGTTTTGCTCATGAATCATATGAACGTGTCAAATCATAATTCAAATATATCTTGTTCGTGTTTTTAAGCACTTCAAAATACGAGGTCATTGAAATACATCATAGACCTGATTTCTAGTTTAATCACATGATTTAGTTGGTTAATTACAGAACGGATTATTTGAAAGGGTTATATACAACACCGAATAAAATATATTTTTCACAAATTTAAAAGTTATTATCTTATTTGTTTATATTTCTGATCTGTAAATGGTAAACTAAGCAATCTGCTCGTTAAAAAAAAAATTTTAATGGATGTCTGTCAAAAGCATCCAGATCATTAATGCAATATAGATTGCAGTATACTTCTGCGGTGTCTTGGCACTGATGTCATGCTTCCAGACAATATATATATTCCTGATGGATTGTGGTCAGAATTCCCGGATTACATGTTTATCGTTGACAGATAATTTTGGTCAAATGTAAAAGAGGTTGTCATGGAATTAGTCTCTGTCAAAAATACATCTAATCACTTTTTGTGCACAGGAATATATGTACACTCTGATGAGTAGTGTAAAAGGGAAAATGTCAAAACCCACACAAACTAAAGGAATTCATCATAGATAAGATTTTATTTTGATATGTCACACAATGTTGTTATATAGTAATATTAACTGATGACCACGTTTTGAGCACAAATGATCGATGCTCATAATCATATCAAGTCACTACTCACACAACTTTTTTCCTTCATTTATTCATATACATGTGTGTAATTGACTAGATGTTTGAATAAAAATCAATGTGATAATGTACATTCAGAAATAATTATACGAGTGTTTTTATAGTCATAATAATAAGTTACTTGTTAGAATGTTGTG